CTAATGACATTTTTATATTGCAAGAAGAAAGTTCAACAAAAAATAGATCTCTATCAGATATTGTTGAAGAAGAAGAAGTGGAAAGTGTAATGGCATCTGCAAGTGATCAAAGGGAGGAAGAACTTCAAGTGTTTTGGTCTTATATTGTTGGCATGTTAACTAATTTAGATTCAATGCCTTTAGAAAGAATTCATCAGATGTTAAAAATGTTTGCATCTCAAGGTCCAGGTGCAATGGAATGTGGCTTACCTGAATTGAGGCAATTTCTTGACAGAAAAGTTAGAGAACATCAATTATTATTTTCAGGTGGCTTATATCGATTGCCAAAATCATAAAATTATAATAATTATTTAATTCTTTGTATTATATAATAATATGAAGACTATGGTGAAAAATATGGCATGTTAGTTACATTTTTCGTTTTTTATAAAAGAGCAGTTTTAAAGTTTATTACATTAACAAATAGTCCCATATTGCTAAACTGATTTTCTATTTAATTTTAAAAATAGGTATATATTTATACCACTTTCTTTATTACTACAAAAATATTCATTATTTGTATATTGTATTCTTGATTTTTTACAAAATTCTATAAATTTTTCATTTACTTAGAAAAGGTTTGAATTTTTAAATTTAAGAGATTTTTGCCTTTTAAATATTAAAATACTCATTTGTGTTTTTCTTTCATGGTCTTCATATGTGATTAATAAATTAATATAAAAAATCTGATTTCATGTAATAAAACCAAGGATTACATGTCATATTTCAAAGATATTGGTTTTGTATATATTCATAGAAATACCATTTAAAACCAAAGTTTAATGTATTCATCAACATTAAAATTTTTCTATATACTATGTGAACACAATCAAAATGAAAAATGTTCTTTTTGTTCAACTTATGAATTATGTTACAATCAGATAATAGTAATAGCTGTGACAATATGTAATGTCTGTAATGCATTTATAAATAAAATGCACAATATGATAAATCCAATATTGTTATATAATTGAATGCTTAGCATCAAATTGTAAATATTTATAGAACTTTAGTATATTGTATAATGTTGTAAAGTATCATACATACATATAATTAAATTAGATATTACATTTTAATTTATAAAATTCGAAGAAATTAATATTATCTTCACATATCATTAGTATCATTTGAACACAATTTTTTTAAACCTACTATACTCTTTTGTACTTGAGATATCAAAGTGTTATTACTATACCTGTACAGTAACACTTCTTACTCTTTCCTAACATGTATAGAAAAATTGTTATGAATAATGGAAAACCTTAATTGTATTTAATAAACAAATCTTTCAGATAATTTGAAAATAAAATTATTTTATATTTTGACCTGTACTTACTACATATTTTATATTGTTGACATAAATATCAACAGTAAAATAAAATATAAAACAAATAATTTTAATAAATTTTGACAAGAATTAAGCAACTATTGCGATAAATGTAAATAGTAAATACAAATATACTTATTAACAAAATTGTATACATACATACATACATAAATCTATGTATGTACTTGTATGTTCATATAAAGGTACATACACATGCTGATTCAATTAATTACTGATTAGAAATAATGTTTACTTCTTGACTTTTATTACATTTCTCAATAAGTTCTTAATTTAAATAATTTTGATAAAGTCATTTACAATATTTTATAACATATTTTATGACATAAATTGCATACTGTTATTAAAATTAAAACACAATAGAAGTAAACAAATATCAATTAGTATTTGTCATTATTGGTTATTAATAATACTAATAACAAAAATAGTATGTATTAGTATTACTAATATGAACGTGTCAATTTAAATAATCTATGCTTATCATTTTAAAGTTTTAGTTCTGCAGATACAATAAAGAAATGAAAATTATTTCTATGATTAAAATTAAGTATAATTATTATACAATCATTTCAATTAGTTACAATCATTTTGAAAAAAAATATTTAAATTATCAGGACAATATACATTATTGTATTATCTTTTGATTTTTTTATATATATTTTTGGAATTTTGTATGTGCATTTTATAACGTAGTATGCGTATGTACCTGCAATTATATAAGACTTAAAAAACATGTAAGTTCATCTACATATAAACAGTCAATGCATACATATAATAATTTTTTTTAACAATACAAGGGAAAGTTAAAAGATAGAGACAATTTTGCCGAAATTAACATATATATATATACACACATATATATGTATATATATATCAAATATATTGAATCCAATATCACATGTAAGTGGATTATAATCTACATTAGTATTGATATACTCTTAAGCTTAAAAATTTTTAGTTTTTAAGAAAATATATAACTTTCGTTTTTACAAATTACTAGAAATTGCTAGATTATGTTGATTATTAGTTGAAATTCGCCTCAATTACTGAAATTTATGACATCTTTAATCGATTTCTTTTCCTTTATCATTAAAAGAAAAGCATGATAAAACATGTTTAAACCATTACAGTTAGAATCAATAATGTATAGATTGTTAATAAATGGTCACTGATTAGCATTATTCACTACAAATAGTCGTTATTATTTTTTTTTCTTCATTTGGTATTAAAGTACTTTATATATTCAAACAACAAAATAAATTTTTTCATCATTTCCAAAGCTGAAACATTTACTTAAAATGAAATAGGTTGTAAAATATATTCCTACAATGTGTTCATGTTAAAAATTATTTAAAGGAGTATATATACTAATCATATTATTATTGCACTAAATACACGGCAAAAGTTTCATCAATTTTCAACTTCCCCCATTCTTATGTGCTTTTGTAAAATGTCTGTGTTTCTTTTGCATAATATTTTGAGTTATATAGTGTATTAAAATATAATGAATATACCACTTTAAGCTATAAACTTAAGTAGAATTCAGATCACTCTTAGTACAATTAAACCATGAAATACAATCTATTTACACAAAGTAATAGTTGTCTGTCCTAAGGTAATCGAAAATGTTAGAAATGCTTGTTTAAAATACAAGCATGTTACAAAGATCACTAAATATACACAAATGAACATGATAGAAAGTTCTTATTATTACATGTACATATGGCAAATCTAAAGAATCAACAGTATATTCTTTGTATATCTAATGGTATATTGACTGGTAAATAAATCAATCTCACATATAAACACTCTCATCTATATAGATAACTTCTTTATATAACATTATAAATGTAGACATATTGCAAATAACGAAGGTAGTAAACAACTTTCATGTTGTTCTTTGTCCTAATTAAATTGCTCATCATTTGTGAGAATAATATTTCTTAAAACGATCTTTCTTAATCTATATTTATCAAAAAAGATGTTTCTTTAATGCAAATTTACCTAGATAAGCAAAATTGAAAATATTCAATAAATGATTAAAGTCTATTATTTTACAAATAAATTGCACCGTAATTTTACATAATAGAATTTTCAAATTATAAAATAATAATGTATTATATTTTTTTTGTTAAAAAGTGGAGATTCTTCCTAGCCACACAACAAACTAAATGTATTGAACGAGACATTTCATATACTTAATACCTAATTAACATATTGAGATATTTTGATTTCCTTAGTATTTCTTGATCAAAAATTAATAAGAGTTGTAAATTTAAAGAAACAGATGCAAAATATCTAGTAAATATCTTACTTATGATTAAATTTGACCTGTGAAACTTCATATTTTTATATTACGTTATGGTTCAGTATGTATTAACATTACAATTAATTAATATGCCATTATTGGTATAAAATTTTTAACTGTGTAAATAGCTGTCTCACTTAACATTAAAACAGAAATATCCTTAAATTTGTGTTCTCAAACTGTTCTTTTTCCTGAGTCAAACTATTCAATTTCACTTAAAAAATAGTAAAATGAAAACAAATTTTGATTTTATATTGCACCTATTACACATGGACATATTATTTTCTAAGTTATATAAAATACATAATATTATTTTCTTTCCCTATTCATTTTATTGCTCTAATAAGGATGTAAGTACTAAAAATTTGATGTAACCATTATGCAGAAAACTGTTTTTATAATCTGCGATAACTGTATTTTAAATAGAAAAATGTATATCGCATACGACCTTAAAATAAATTTTTAATATACAGGTCGTGTAAGAGGTGTGATATAACAGAAAAACGAGATTCTTACATTATTAATAGATTAACTCAAAAAGTAACTTTCAAAAATCATAAACAATATTTTCTACTTGTTATATGAAATTCTAATTACGTATGTAATCAGATAATTACTTTTATTAGCAAAGTTATCAATTAAAATATTATTAATTAAAGTATTAATTAATTATTCAATTATTTAATTAAGGACAGTATGTGTAATTGTAAAAATATAAAATATTACGAAATATTAAAAATTCTTAAGGCAAACCTATATAATTTTATTCTTCATGTGTATTATTTTTGTATGAGTATTTCATAATGTATATCATCTGAAATTCATTTCTTATTATGTATATATGTATAGAGAAAGTACGTTGCGGCGTCGAAGTTACACAATAAGTTTCACGAGTAGCCATTCTAAACTGTAAATAAAATAGACAATTAATAAACAAAGAATGACAAAAAATTGATCAAAACGATACCTAAAAAAATAGTCAATATTATTGCATATCACGATATTTCATAAGTTCATAAAAAATATCACGAAATTTCATGATCAAATATAATTCAAAATGTTGCGCGCCTTAAGAAATTTTTTACACACACGTACTGATGTTTACAAATCATATATATGTATATGCGATTTTTCGTAAGTCGTTTGATGAATAATGTTTCTGAACAAATATCTGATGTCACCGTGTTAAAAATCCACCATTTTCTGGTTATATCACGCCTTGTAAAAAGTTTTATATGAGAAAATCTGAAATTTAGTATCTTAATAATAAATAAGTTAGTATTTCAACGGACTGGTTTATCATGTCAAGAGTATTCGAAATTTAAACAGACTGATAAGAAATCGATAATTTTCACACATAATGTATTAAAAAATAGTAACCGAGTAACTATGCACTTAGAGAAAAGAGAAATAACTACATTTAAGAAAGAAGAAAATGAATAATAAATTATACTTGCATTGTGTTAATTTTGTAGTGGGTCATTCGTTTAAATCACTACGCAATAAAATTAAGAAGTATAACTGTGACTGTTGTTTCGGAATAAAACGGAAAATAAACGTTTCAAAGTTGTCATTCGTTCGCGTTGAAAACTAAGACGCACATAACCGTGTTCCTACCAAATCGGGTGATATTTTTTCGCATATTCTGGCGTCATCTACGATTATTTCTGAAGGTAGAGAATTGATCCCTTCTCGTCGGTAAGTAACTCACAATCAGAGGCTTGATTACCTGTCTGACGTTCGGAACGTCAGTAAAAATGAACGCTAGCGAAACGAGCAAAGCAATTTAAACGAGGCTATACAATTTAAAGACACGAAGAGGGTACAGGATGGATAAACTTGACGAACAACAGGGCTGGTGATGCGAACGGCGAAGGTGGTCATCTGGTTGGTGAACCGATCGAACGCGGATGTTGTTCCAGAGTCCAGGTGTTAGCACGGGGCGAGTGGATTCCATTGTTAGCACTCCAAGCCTATAGGCCATGGGCAACCAAGGTTAAAAAGAAAGAAAAGAAAAACAGTTTGTTAGTAATTTAATTATGATCGATTCATGTTAACATTAAGTTTTTGAACAGTTCGATAGTTGAAAGAAATGTAGTTAGTGGGAAGCATTGCCTTTCCTTGGACATTTATTCATATTTAATTATATTAAAAAAAAAAAATTTCACTTGTACCATCGTCTAGTGAGATATTTCTTTCTTTTGATCTAATGTTTGCATTCACACATAAGAAACAAAAAATAAAAAAAATAAAAAAATGAAACTATCATTAGAAGAACATAATAAAACAGATAACGATTAACAAGCAACTGCTTCGCACTCCCTCTTGGTCAATATTAGTGTATAAGCATTTATTTCATATAAAACGTGATACGTGATAGAAACATTGTCAGAATATTATATATCGACGAAATGAAGCTCATACTTCGTTACTTGTCATTCATCGTTTACAATTAATAGCCCTCTAATTACCGAGAAATCGTAAACTTCATGTGTATGATTTGGGATATCATCATTTTTGCAAGCTCAGTTATTATTGTTACAATATGTATGATTCCACGAGAACAGTTATGAACACATCGAATTTCTATTCATAAAATACAGCAAGAAATGGCATTCCTTTTTGTAAGAAAAATTCGATCGATCATTAGAGGGTTAAACTATGTATTTTGGTTATAAGTTTCACATAATCATGTGCCCTCCCCGCGCTTAGGATAGTCGAGAAGATAAATATGTAAAAATTGTGTACAAAATTCTAAAACGAAACGATTTAAAGACATAAACAAGTGTAAAAAAAGCAGTCTTAGAATAGTAGATGATAAAGATGATTTTAGTTATTCAAAATGCGAGGATTTCGTTATTTCCCAAAAATTGTATCTTTTTGTAGGCAGCTTGGGTGTGCACCTGCCACCATATAGTAGCGTTAAATAAATGACATTGTTCGTGTGTATGATATTAAATACATAGTTATAGCAATATTATTACTGTGAATCGTATTAACTATAACGATTAATATCCTATCAGCAAGCAGGTGTCAAAAGGCCAATGAATTACACGCGTGCCGTACAAGGTATAGGTCTATTGTACAATCTCTGAAAAAAGCATATCGTTGCATAGTGTTAAGATTTGTATATATTATATAAAATACGTAGCGTTAATTCTCTAGCAAAACATGTACAAAGGAAAACCTGTAACGTTGGTTGAACGATTCAAAAATTTCTGCTTTCCAGCAGCTAATCACTTGCTTGCCTTCGAAATAAGTATTCTTACTTTATATTTCTTTTAGCATAGAAGTCATATACAACAATTTATTCCTGTTAAACTAGCATTATGGATGATACTTTTGGTCTTATATTTTAAAAAGTATTTCTTTCTACTATTAAATTAAACAAATATTTTTTACATTATAGTAACAATTTTTTTTCTATTTTTACAATGTTGTAAGACATTTCCAATATTTATTTATTTATTTATTTTTTCGTTTCAATTTTGAACTCGATGAAATTTATTGTTATTCTTCCTATCCTGTTTTTTTTTTTTTTTTTTTTTTTTTTTTTAAATTAATAAATTCTCCATGATTCTATGATTAACATTTCTAATGAACACATAACAAACATGTTGCATTATTGTTCATACGTAAAATGACAAAAAACAATCGAACATATCGTATAATATTCGTTAAATGCGTCAAAATAATGGACATTTTCCATACTGTTCTTATGCATATTTCACTCTGCGGGTATACACTATCGTGATAAATATTATATACACTACATGAAGATATATGTAAATAGAAACATCAAGTTAGTGTCAACTTGGCCGTGTGGAGCATTTTTGGTTAGTTTTATAAAGACAATGCATAGTTATACGTTTCGTGTAAAAAAATGAAATCGCTTCTATAATAAAGGTGCCATTATAAATTATGCGTGGTATTGTTAGTGGTGATACATAAAAAAGGATAGGATGCATTTTTAAGGATTAAATTATTAAATTTTATTTCTACATGAAAAAAATAAAGGAAATTGTTTACGACGTGTCGAAAAAATAACTCGAGTCAATGGTAAAATTAGTCTAGATTAAGTTTCTCCCGGGACATTGAAGAGATGTTGTGATTAAATCGATATGATATATACAGGCAAATTTTAGGTACATATATTTCTAAATTTGCATATTTTCGTGCGATATAAGTGATATCCTGGATTCAGGTGGAACGGAAACATCCGATGTTGAAAAATAATACGACAAAGTACTTCGAATATACTCCTCACTTGCAGCTTAAGCCTTCGCATCGTATCGTAGTACCACCCCTGTCATCTTCGTTCGAAATAAAGAAACTACTTCTTTCATATTTTTGCATAAGTATTTATTTCAAACACGCGTACGACACGCACGCGCAGACACGTATGTATATATACACGCACAAAAAGGCAGACGTGAATGGAATGAATAAGTGTTCCACAGGCACAAGTTGCCAAAAAATTTACCAATTCTGATATGTGATCATGTATGGTCTCTGAATAAAGATTACTGTAATGGTAATTTTCATAAATATATAAAATATATTATATGGTAGGTAGATATATATAGATATTAAATTATTTATAACAACGTTGTTTCCAAAACTGTACTTCATATTTACCCTTAAAACGTATGTTTTTACTTTTTTTTTCCCTTTTTGTTTTTATTTCTCGTTTTTAGGTTATGTTTATCTTATGGTAATTGTTTCAATCCTTCGACAACGATAATGGTACTATTATTCGACTTCTAATAGTCGTAATAAAGATTGTTTAGCACTAATATAAAAATGCGAAAAAATTGTGTAAAAGTAAAAAAAAATGGGTAGGTGCGCACCCATACCATACCGTCATTTCTCGATCATTTATCTTCTTCCTTGGTGATGCAAGAAAGAAAGGAGGACCGAAAAAGCTTTCTTAGATGTTTACTCTATACACCTAATTGCGGGGAGTTAACATTACCTTGAAACTTTAGAGTTCTCACTATCGAGTTTGTAAACAGCACATACATATATAAAATTCTTTAATGCTGTACACAGTTATTTTCATGAATTTTTATATAATTGAATGTCATTAGAATCTCAGATTTCAAGTAAATACAACTATTCGAGAATATTTTTAAGCTTATAACAAGTTTGAAATTATTTGATACGAGATATACGTAGATTTGAAAATTTTTTGAAATTTAATTGTATTTTAAATTAACAAAAGAGAGCGAAATTATTTTCGAGTTTCTTCAGATATTTCAAGTGAGTGAAAATAAAATTTTTCAAATATTAGATTCTTTTTAAATTCAGAATTTAAACATTTAACTATTCTTATATAATTTTTTTTATTCTAGACAAGAATATTTCTAATTAATATATTTTGCAATTTTGAAACAATTCTAATCTATATTTAGGAATTGCAATAGAAATACAATTTAATAATATTAAATTAAATTCAAAATAGATATTATTTATCGTATGTAAATGATAAGTCCTATAAAAAAGCATGAAAGAGAATCTAAAAATATTATTATACTATATCTAAAATTAATAAAAATTAAATTCCTTATCCTTAAAAAATAATTAATTAACTTATTGATTTTGGCAAAAATTTGGCTTTAAAAAAAGAAAAGAAATAACTTATATAATAAATGAAAATTAGTGAAAAATATAGATTCAAATTATTTTATCATATAAAATATATATTACAAGATCTAATGCTATATTCCTAGGTTGAAAATTAATAATTGATTTGTACATTTTTCTATAGTGTTGTTTTTACATTACCTTGTTTTTACTTTATGCAAGACGCAATATTTTTACTTCAAAATCATATATTTTTGTTTCTATACATCAAAATGAAGCTAAATTATTTAATTACTCATTTAATTAATTGATTTTACGTTAGATATCCTATAAAAAGACACTAATTATATTACTTTGCTATATATATAATATGCAAATTAAAACTCGCCAATATCTCACTATAATTTATTAATTATAATTCATCACATATTTATAATGAATAAGAATACTAAAAAATGGACTATCAGAAATTTTGAACTATCAGAAATTCTGCTTATCTATTACTTTTAATTTAAAATAACATTATATTACCGATAAAATAATAATAATAATTAACAATAACATGACGCATTGATTGATTAAATATTCATAATATAGATAAATATGTAAAAAAATAAATTAATTAATTACTTTTTAAATACCGTAAAGGATGTTGTAGAATAATAAAAGAAAAGTGTTTTTAAATAAATTTCAATGATTTTTCTCGAACCTTGAAGCTTTTGCATATAATTTAACAATTTTAATATAAAATATTTGCAATTTTGTAATAATTTACTAAATCATTATACAAAGACAATAACGTCCTGCGAAACATTAGATATAGATAATAAGAAGTATCTATAACGGTGACTAAGTTTCTAATAAATTTATAGAAATACAAAATTAGCCGTATAAAAAGACACATGAAACTTCAATATGCGATACGCCTGCAGTATAATCGCTTATCTCTCTTAGCTCCAAGCAAATAAACGAGTTTCTCGTTACAAGTTATTGATTATGTATTTTGACATTGACGCGGTTAAAAGTAGCAAAGTTCAAGAAAAATCGATTAATCCTGTAAAAAGGAAACCTTTTTTGCGAGTAGCATTAACTATGAGAAAAAAGAAATATACAATATGATGCACAACAATGTGATATCTATATATCTATATCTCTTCACATAACACAATATGTCTGTTTGCATGGATACGGATATATGGATATTAAGAAAAAAATAACTATTGGGATAAGATACAAAAGATGGAACGTTTCGAAGAAACTAACCTTTTCGCGGAGGCGCGTACAGTATTGCGATTGCGCTCTCCGGATTCACGACAAAGCACCAGCCCTTTGATAAGGGTGCTCGCGAATCTGACCCAAGTGCCTACGTTGTTTTGCAGCGGCTGCTGCACCTGTCCCCAACATACAAACGTGTATAATTCATCTGCTTCCACATGTATTTATCATTTCCAGTCCTCGGCAGGTCACTTAACTGCCGCTATAAACAATAACAGCAAATTAAAATTATCCACAGACTCACGATCGAAACGCAAACCAATTCTTTATTTTCTTGTTATTTTCCTTCGTATTTTCGTTTTCGCAACATTTCCATCTATACTTTATGTCTTACATTTGCACGAGTGTAAATACAACATAACCACAATCACCAAGTTCTGTATTTTCTATTAGTTTGCGTTTAATCGAGTAGTTTTCAAATTTGAAACAGAAAAATATATTCTTTTCCTCAAAAGGAAACACAACACTAAACATAGAATACGTGTGCGTGTATTTATAGTATTTCAAACGAGTCAAGTCAGTAATATAAACAAGTGCACGCGATAATCATCTTGGCAAGACAGGGCCGTGTTCGCAATTTCAGGACATTATGATATAAGGGACTGTTCGAACTATTTAATTTCTTTGTTATAGAATGGAATTGTTTGTCGTTAATATAAATGTAAATAATGTAAATGTGTATATATATAAATCACTTATGGATATTTTGTAATATTGCTGATAAGTACTAAGGGGGTTTATTTAATAATATATCGTTCCTGACATCAATAGTTAGCCAGACAGCAGCTGGATTCGCTAAATGTATCACGTGCTTTAGTCTGTTTATTTGCACTGATTTGACCCGTTTGAGGTACTATATTAGTTACCTTGAATTTTTTATCTTGACATATATGTTTATAACACTCTTATCATTTCAAAACTTCAGTTTTTTTTTTCTTTTTTTTTGAGAAGTTCACTATAACGAATGCTTTACAATTACCCTGTATATATAAATGGACAAAAAATATACATTCAACTGTTCTTTCCAACAGGTTCCTCATTTTGTCTATTGTTTAACATCGAAGAATTCTGGCACATTCTTAATTTATATTGTATACACGCACGCATATATATATATATAT